ACAGTGCTCCTCCCTCGGGTAAAAGCTATCATTGTTCTTACTCCTATCATCTCTGATTTCACTCAAGTCCTACCATAGACAAAATATAGTGACAAAGATAAAAGTATGAAGATCTAATAACATTAGATTTAAAATTTTAAATAGTAGTAGTAGTATCCCAAATTCCTGTCGTGCTTAGTGCTCACACAATAATCAAATGTGTAAAAGCTGAGAACTTTATTAAACAACATAGTAAATTTTTTTATAATAACCATGGTGTGGGGCCAGCTTGCACGTACCTCGATTAATTTCAAGGGATACCTGCCACCTCGCACCAGCAGCAGGTACTGGGTGACTCTGTCCACCAATGTTTAAATAGATGGGAAGAAATCATCTAATATTTTTACCTCTGCTGGGATTTAAACCCGAGACCTCATTGTTCCTAGTTTCTAGCCTGCATGCTTAGTTATATGTGGTTAGTGGGGCAGCGAGATCCTCACCAACGATAACTGCAATTGCATAATAGACGGGCACCATGCTTAGATAGGCTCCGAGTACAACGGAGTTCAACATCGAAAGACAATAATATTTAATTAGTTTGCTTCGGGTGCATGCTCTTCCGGTTGCTCTTGTTTTGAATTCGAATGGACGGCCCTGGTCACGGTTCCACTGCTCCTCAGGTCTTGACTCCGTGCTCATGGGTTCTAAACCACTTCCAATACGTATCGTCATCTTACCTGCAGTTCTTTACTCACTTTGAATATATAATATCTTCTAGTTATGTTCCTTGTTATCTTCTGCACCATCAGCATTGGATTCAGAAGCCACTGTTCATTTTCAGGCTTGCATCTTACATCTGCTTTGGAAGCAATTTCGATTCAATGTGTTCTCCACATGAACCCTCATCTTTACTTTTAAGTTTCTGCCCAATAGGTTATAGAGCATATAGCATCAAACATTACGCAATTTCTAATACCATCAGTTTGGAGACTATGTTCAATTATCACCCTTTCCTAAAGAAGAAACAGGAGGAACAAGGAGTCCTCTTGCTCTTCAACACTCAGACAAACATTATCTAAGAAACTATGAATCTCAATTTAAAGATATCTTCTTCATTAGGGGTTGCAAAAGTAACTCTGACATATGAAACCAGAAAATGAATGAAAATGCAAATATAGAGGCTTGAAATGAGGATAAGAAAGATTAACAAACTTGAAATTGAGGGTCGTAAGATCTGTTAGTTCTTCACCACCAAACGGAGCACAACTTTTACATAAATTTCCTGCTCATTCACTTCGTCTGATCTTCTCTGATTCTAACGGAATTTTTCAGGGATATCTTCCAAAATTCTTCTGCATGTTGAACTAGTCAAAATTAATATGATTCACACGGTTTTCTACCATATGCAGTTCCATTTCATTGTAGTTACTTACAAGTTAAGAGGGAAAAAAGTGATCCATAGAACACTATACCTGTGCTATACAGAACATTATCAGTAGCAAACTTCATGACAGATGAAAATGATACACTGCGAATACAACATGTCCATAGATAACATGAATGCAAATAGAGGAAACTTAAAAGTTTATCATACCTACTCCAGTCACTACATTAAACTAAAATGGCTTCTTCTCCTCTCTGTATAGGCTGCACAATCATAGTGATACAGATGACTACTCAAGATTTCCTACTTTCTTGCACCTATCTTTTCTTCCTTCCCTAACAGTAATCTAAGCATCAAAGAGAATTTTATTTCTGACCTCCTCCAATAGATAGGAAATAGACGAAGCATGGTAAAAGAGTGAAACTATAAGTGTACTCAGTCCCTGAGGAAAGGGCTAGTTAAAGAACAATCATGGTGCACATATGTTGGGATCTAATTCATAAATATTCAGATCAGCACACTGCAGTGAGCATTAGGAAATCTAATCATTGGCTTCCAGTCAGAAAAAAGTTCATTAAAAGCTGGTAGATAAATCTTTACCAATTTGCTAAGTGGTTCAGAAATTTCAAGGTAAGCGGACAGGGATGAAGAAGCTACTAGAAACACAGCGCCTTGAGACGACAGTGATCAAAATCCTGATTATCCGGCCAAATTCCTTTAATAACCATGAGAAGTTAAGTGTTTAATTTAACATTTCCTATATAAAAAGAGTAACAACACACTTCCAGTTGTTAATCCACGTTTAGATCCAAGCACACGTTCCAAACAACGTAGAGAACTTAGTTTGACGAACAAGAATTGTCTAATAGATTGAAGCTGAGCTAATATATGCATATCCTTTATTTAAAAGAAATCCAGAAATGAAAGGGCAGTTAGTCTTGAAAGAAACATGGAGGAACAAACAAAAATTCAGAGTGTTCAGGAGTTGGAAACAATACCATGAAAAGGTAGAGCTGTGGCAGACATAAGTATAAAAGAATTAAAAACTTATCATTAAATTTCTATCAGTTTGAGTTGCGTAAAATCTACAGAGGCTGTAGCTAATAAGGAATAAATGAATCATATCTCCATCCTACCACCTATTGCTAGACACCTGCAGGAATGGTAAATTTTAATGGACATTTCGGCGAATTATTTGATGGACTCCTCGAAGGTACTTGCATTGATTTATCAATCATACAATTATAACCACTATCAATGCTGGAGCTTGTAACGTTTATCCTTTCTTCTACTTTTAATAACCCTTCTTCCACAAAATAAGAGACCGTTTCATCCTCCATAACCTCTGAATCTTCCTCCGACCAGTAATCAACAGAGTCCCCTTCAGATACGCAGCTCCAATCTTCTGAAAAACAGGAAAATTCATCGTCTGTCTCAGTAACCAAGAGCATAGAACCAATTTCATTTATATCTTCAACCTCATCTGATTCTTCCACACCATCATCATCACTTAAACCCTCTACAAATGGATGATTTAGCAGCATTTCAGCAGTCCATCTATACCTAGGCTTCCTCACAAAACAACCTTTTAGGAAATCTTTCGCTTCCTTAGACAATTCGCCTGGAATTTTAGGCAATTCATGCCCTTCCCCAATCTTTTTAAGTACATCCTCAGCATCCATATCTTCCTTCTGATTCCACGGAGGTTTCCCCGTTAACATCTCAAGCACAATACACCCAAGAGCCCAAATATCCGCGGCAGACTCTTGTACACTATCAGCTACAGCTTCAGGTGACAAATACATCGGAGTACCCCTCCAATAAGTCTCCAATCTCCTCTTTTTACTCTGATTTTCTCTTTTCGCCAATCCAAAATCACCAATTTTTGCCCTAAATTCATTACTTCCTTTACTAGAATTCAACACAAGCAAGATATTATCAGGTTTCATATCACAATGAACATAACCAATCGTGTGAATATAATTTAACCCTCTAAGCATAGACCTAGTATAAGACCTTACCTCAAATTCAGGCAATCCTTTGTTCCCTAATTTCTTGATCCTCTCAGCTAGGGTTCCACCAGAACCATACTCAAGCAACAAGTTATAAACCATCATACCATTCTCATCAGTTGTAGTTTCATCGCCATAGCATCGAATTATGTACGGACAACCCTTGATGTTATTGAGAACCTCTCTTTCCTTCTGAATTGAACCAGAAATAGAAACCTCAGCGGATTTCACAGCCATAACTGATGGTAAGTAGCCATTTTTTGATCTGGAGTTCTTCAATTTAGCCACATAAACATGCCCAAAACTTCCTTTCCCAAGCATTGCTCCTCTATACCATGAAACTCCATCTCCAAATTCGTTTACATTACTCTTTAGCTCCATCTTCTTCCCTTGAACTTCAACTTTTTTCTTACTTTCCATCCCTTGTTGCACAAAATCTGGTTCTTCCCCCATATAATGGAACTTGAATTACCTCAGAATTATGGGTTTTGTTTGCTTTGCAAAACAAACAAGAACATGTGAAGGGAATAAAACAAAGATAATGAAAAATCCTTAGGAGAAATTAGATTAGGGTTATTCTCACTTAAAAAAATGGAAACCAATGCTACGTATAACAGAGCAAATTAAATGTGCAAAGAAAGTTAGGGTTAATTAAGTTTTAATATTAGGTTAGTATTTATATGTGAAAGACTAGCGTTTGTTTGAAGGAAGAGAAGACGAAAGAAGCGAGTTGGAAAAAATGTGGCTAACTGGAATAACGGTCATGTGTCCTCTCACGTTACTAAATTGTGGCACGACTTGTACAAATTCTGCTTGTTATAGCCTCATAGAATGATCATTTTTTTTTGTTTCCAACTCCGTGTCTGGTAGCCGCATTAGAGCCCGACTATATCCGGATTCTCGCTGCGTAAGGCTCCATTCGGGGGAAACGCTCCCTACCAAATATTTTTCCATACCCAGGGCTCGAACCCGAGACCTCTGGTTAAGGGAGAAGTAGTCATATTCACTGCACCACATCTTTTGATAGTATAGAATGATCATTTGACATTAATGTAACATACATTTTTCATAAATTTTGACACTATTATTCGTCACTCTAAATTTCTTTGTAAAAGAAGTAGAAGTAGGAAGAGAAGAAAGGATCCATTGTTAACATACGAAATTGAAAGAGAGATTGACAAAATTTGTATCTAGGGCTTGAAAGAAGAGAGAGAATTGGGGAGAAAGATATCTCACATTTCTGTAAAACCAGATAAAATGCCAAAATCCAGAACCTTCTGTCTCTCTACCTATCTATATATCTTGGGCCTCTTAACTAAACTATTCATAAATAAAAAACTGGGCTAGGCCCAAATACCAAATACAAAAGAGCTAATATCGATAGCAGCCCAACTTGCTTCATGTAATCCCAACACCCCCCCTCAAGTTGGAGGGTGTATACACACCCAACTTGCCAGTCAAAGTGCGATGCTGCAAACCTGTCATAGGCTTAGTAAAAATGTCAGCCATTTGAGAAGAAGTAGAAACATGAGATAAGGAGATGATGCCATCGGCTAATTTGGTACGAATAAAATGACAATCGACTTCGATGTGTTTAGTGCGCTCATGAAACACCGGATTCTTGTCTATGCGAATAGCAGCCTGGCTTCGTACAAAACAGGAATTGGAGCATCAATAGAAAGACCCAAATCAGATAATAACCAGACCAACCAGGCTAGTTCAGCCACCACCTTACTCATAGTCCTATATTCTGCTTCAGCTGAAGACAAGGAGACGATATGCTGCTTTTTAGATTTCCAACTAAGAAGACTACCACCCAAATGAATGCAAAAACCAGTGACAGAGCGTCTAGATTCATGACAAGCAGCCCAATCACTATCACAACTAGCAAGCAAAGAGAAATCAGGAGAATTACTGAGAAACACCCCAAAAGTAGAAATCCCCTTTAAGTATCGCAAAACATGCAAAGCAGCAGCCATATGTGGGACCCGAGGTGTCTTTAAAAACTGACACAAATGCTGGACAGCAAAACATAAGTCTGGCCGAGTATGAGTCAAAAAATTGAGCTTGCCAACCAAACTTTTATAAGATTCGGGCTTAGGTAATAGCTCACCAACATCAGAATGCAACTTGTGAGCAATGTCTAAAGGATTGGCCACTTCAGAAGCAGAAGACAATTATACTCAAGAAGCAAATCAGAAATGAACCTCTTTTGATGCAAAAGGACCCCAAACTTGTGATAGAATACTTCAATACCCAAAAAATAGTTAAGCAAACCTAAGTCTTTGATCTTAAACTAAGCATCAAGGAAACTCTTAAGGGCAGAAATTTCAGACAAATCATCCTCAGTTAAAATAATGTCATCAACATAAACTGCTAGAAAAACATAACAAGACTCAGTTCTCTTAACAAACAAAGAATAGTCATTTAAAGAGTGAGAGTATCCCCTGGAACAAAGGGCTTGAGACAGCTTTGCATACCACTGTCGAGAGGCCTGTCTTAGCCCATAAAGAGACTTTTGCAGCTTGCAGACTAAAGTAGCAGATCCAGAAGAGGAGGACTCAATAGAAAGGCCCTGAGGGAGCTTCATATAAACTTCTTCATCTAAGTCCCTATGTAAAAAAACGTTATTAACATCTAACTGAAATAAAGTCCACTGTTTTTTAACTGCAATAGCAACTAAACATCTGACAATACATATTTTAACCATATGAGAAAAGGTTTTATTAAAATCAATCCCCTCTACTTGAGTATCACCTCGAACCACTAATCTTGCCTTATATCTTTCCACACTACCATCAGCTTTATATTTTATTTTATATACCCACTTACTGCCTATGGGCTTCTTACCAATAGGAAGCTCAACAACTTTCCAAGTTTGATTTCTCTAAAGCCGCAAATTCTTGTCTCATTGCCTCCTGCCAAACAGGAATGGCAACATCCTGAGCGTATGGATAAGGCTCCACTGGAACATGTTGTGTAGTGGAAGTAGAGGTAGAGGTGGAGCAAGAAATAGAAGGGGGAAGGTTAACAACGTAGTCTGGGAGATGGGAAGGAAGATGATGAGATCTGGTGCTTTTCCTAAGCTCAGAAGGAGGGGGTAACACATTATCAGGTGAGGAAAAAGAAGGCACAGAGTCATCAGAAGGTGAGGAGGTAGTAGAAGGAGGGATAGGAACAGATGGAGAAGTATCATAGAACAAAGGGAAAAAAAGGAGAAGAAGAAGGAGTAGGAGCAGAAGAGGGAATCTTATAAGGAAACACAGATTCATGAAACACAACATCTCTGGAAAACAAAATAGACTTAGTTTGCAAATTGTATAACTTGTACCCTTTTTTGGCAAAAGGATACCCAACAAATACACAAGGAAAAGCTCTAGGGTGAAACTTATCCCTGTGACACTTGGGGACTGTAGCATAACATAAACAACCAAAATGCCTTAAAATGAGAATAAGAAGGAGGATGGCCATATAATAATTCAAAAGGGGTTCTTTTGGATAAAACTGAAGATGGAAACCTATTAATAAGGTAAGTTGCTGTCAATACACAATCTCCCCAAAATTTGATAGGAAGATTGGATTGAAACAACAGAGCTCTTGAAGTTTCAAGTAGGTGTCTATGTTTTCTCTCAACCACACCATTCTGTTGTGGTGTGTGTGGGCAAGTTGTTTGATGGATTATCCCATTATCAGAAAAAAATTGGGTGGCTGATGTAGAAGATCCAAGCTCTAAAGTATTATCACTTCTAATCGTTTGGACAGAAAGTTGAAATTGGGTTTTCACCATGGTTATAAATGCTTTAAGAACAGAAAATGCATAGCTTTTAGAGTGCAACAAATGTGTCCATGTTACTCTGCTATAGTCATCAGCTATGGTAATAAAGTACTTAACTTCAGAATATGTTTGAGTGTGGTAGGGTCCCCAAGTATCAACATGAATAACTTGGAACAGAGAGGTAGACTGAGAAGAGCTATCTGGGAAGGGTAACCTAGGTTGTCTAGCCAAGGGACAAATAGGACATGTAAAAGATTGTTTAGCTGACAGGTCATTAGAAATACAAGGTATATTTTTTATTTGCACAAAAGGAACATATCCTAATCTATGATGCCAAAGGACATCATTTTTATTTACAGTCTGCTGAACAGTACAAGATGATAAAAGAGCAACAGAATTTGAATTCATAACTGGCTGATTTGCATGCAATGAAAAATCAGCATTTTGTACCATATTATTAAAGACAAAAACAAAATTATCAATATCAGGGACAACAGAATTAAAGAGTTCAGAAGGAGAAAAATGATCAAGGTAGAGCTTGTATAGTCCTTGGTCCATTCTACCAAGCTCCAGAAGCTTCTTCATAGAATAGGCCTGTAAAAGTATACATGAGAAAGAAGTGAATAGTACATTACAATTGAATTGGATAATCAATTTGCTCACAGAAATCAAATTATAATGGAAGGTAGGAATGTACAAGATATGATGGAGGGTAAAAGATGGCAACAAAGTTAAAGAGCCTGTGCATGTAACCTTAACCTTGTAACCATTAGGCAGAGAAACTAGATAGGGGACAGGAAGATGTGTGATCTTAAAGAGAAGATTTTTGTTAGAAGTCATATGGTCAGTTTCCCCAGAATCTATTATCCAAATCCGTCCAGCTACACTAGTTAACATGCGCACAATAGAACTACCATTCAAATACATAGGGGAAGAAAAATTAATACTAGCAAAATTGGCAGAGCCCATGAGAATTGCTGAGAACTAGATTCACCTAGTGTAGACTGTTGGAGCAGGTTCATCAACTGAGTGTACTGCTCCTTGGTCAGGCCAGGAACCAAAGAGTCTTGTCCAGGTGAAGAACATGATGAAGGGGGTTCAGAAATCCCAGAAGCCTGGCCCTCAACACTTGCAACAGTACCAAATCTTCTAGATTGCCTCTTTGTAAATTTGAAATTTGGAGGAAATCCATGTAATTGTAACATTTTTCAATTGTGTGACCAGGTTTTTTACAATACTTGCAAGGCAGAGAAACCTTGGTTTGATCACAGTTCACCTTCTGGCTATTTTGATCAAAATTGACTCTTTGTGTGTACTACTTTTGAGGTGGAAATTGGGGGAAAGGCTTGTTGAAATTTGCATTAAAAGAAGCTGATTCTGAGTTGAACTGAGTATTAGGGATAACCTGTCTCTGTGTTTCATCTTGCAACAGGATGTTGTACACAGTATCAAGGGATGGAACAGGCTGCATCATCAAAATATTGCTTCTAACCCCTATGTAGACCTCATTGAGACCCATGAGAAATTGATCAACCTATCCTCTTCCTTCTCCTTTTGGAGACCCACCTTAGCAGCACAAACACAAGAATTTGCATGACTACTTCACATAATCCCCAATTCATCCCATAGTTTTTTAAGTTTGTTGAAATATGAAGCAATATCAAGAGTCCCTTGGAAAGTAGAAGCAAGTTCTCTCTTTATTTCAAAAACTTTGGTTCTATTAATACTCTCATATCTATTATTCAATTGCAACCAGATACTTTCAGCAGTCTCGGAATAGTGCACACTCTCAGCTATATCCGGGGATAACGAGCTAGTTAACCATGATATGACCATATTATTGCACCTATCCCACTGCCTATATTGAGGAGAATTCTCGGCAGGTTTAGCACAAGACCCATATATGAACCCTATTTTATTTCTTGCAGATAACGACACGATCATACTACGTCTCCCATCTTCCAAAACCAGTCCCCGAGAATTGCACAGGAATAAGAGAAATGCTAGGGACATCAGAAGGAAGAAGAAACAATGGGCTAGAGGGCTCAAGAGTATATGTAGTGGATGAAGATGTTTCAGGCACAGAATTAACCATGGTAGCAAGTAAATTGATAAAAAAAATGAGAGAGTATACACCTTCAATAGAACAACAACATACACAACTACACAACTACACAACTACACAAGCAACAGTTTAGACAGAGAACGAATATACCGGACTTCTTCGCAACCTAAAGAAGCAAAAGGCCGTGATAAAGAAAATGCAACAGAAATCGACTAGATCTAGTGAAATTGAGACAACGAAACTGAGTGAACACCAAAGCTTTATCCTCGAAAGCAAAACTCGGGTAGCAGAGGAGAAGAAAAACACACAAAACTTCTAAAAATTCCGACGGAAATCGAAAAATCGTGAATTTTTGGCGAAATCAGAAACCTCCGACGAAGACAAAAAACTCAAAGAAATTAAATGAGGGTAACCCTGCTAGATAGAGAATGACGAGAATCATCGGATTCCCTGCTCTGATACCATGTTAACATACGAAATTGAAGAGATTGACAAAAATTTATATCTATGGTTTGAAAGAAGAGAGAGAATTGGGGAGAAAAATATCTCACATTTTTGTAAAACCAAATAAAATGCCAAAATCCAGAACCTTCTGTCTCTCTACCTATCTATATATCTTGGGCCTCTTAACTAAGCTATTCATAAATACAAAATTGGGCTAGACCCAAATACCAAATACAAAAGAGCTAATATCGACAACAGCCCAACTTGCTTCATGTAATCCCAACATCCATGTAATGAAAGAAATGCCAAACTTTCTTCCGGAACTAAATCAAGAATTAGGATGAATTTTTGGATTTTAATTTGTGTATCTTGAAAAATAACAAGGCGTGAAGCTATCTTGGACTAGGTAAAATTACAATGAGATGATCAATAGAAGGGGAAGTGCACAGTTAGTCACTAATTAGAGATGTTTTTATTTTTAGCCACTTTTTAAAATGTATTTATTCTTTAGCCAGTGCTTAATAAATTTTTACCCGTCCGGATGAAAATACCGTCTGTGCTATAGACATGGGTACTGTGTAAATATTAAGGACATGTTGTCCTTAACTTCATGAATGCTGTGTAAATATTAAGGACAAAGTGTCCTGTATTTGCACCTTCCATTGTTAAATTTAGGACATCATGTCCTCAACTTTATATGTGCAATGTAAATGTTAAGGACATGACGTCCTTAATTTCATGTGTGCAGCGTAAATGTTAAGGAGACCATGTCCTTAATATTTACACAACACTCATGAAGAAAGGGTAAAAACATCTTTTCGTATTAATTTTAATAGAATTGTAACTATTTTTAGTCAACATTAAAAATACTGAATAAAAACTAAATACCATATTAAAAAGTGACTATCCATGTCATTTCTACTCAATAGAAATTGGAAAAAAAATTCATGACAACACGCATTATTCTGCATTGCATTCACCTCTTCAGCATCTTATTCACCCAACATTCCTTATAAAATAATTATATCTAAAAACTTTAATTTCTTATATACAATAATCGATAAACGACAAAGGAGACAATTTTGAACATGTTTATTGTTCTAAAATAGAATATTGTGTTCTAACAAATTTTGCTATATATATTCTTTCCCCTTAAAAGCAAGGCAAATCGTTGGTGGGATTTGATTTTCATATAAATGATCCATGTTGACGATAGTGAAAATGGCTTTATATTTGTGCCTCAACTTATATTAGGTAGTAGAGTAAGTAGTCTAGAGTGTTCATAATAATAGTATTCGCACACATT